GTTGCCGCACCTGGTCACCAATGCTCTCTACTAAACAGCTCTTGGAGATGTTAGAATTATGGTGCTGGAAAGAACCTTGGTTCAACTTTATCATTTTAGCAGTAAAAAAATGGGGGACTAGAGAAGGTAGGATCAGCCCTTGTTATATAATTGACCTTACATCATAATCTTTACTGCTTAAATGAGTAAAGGCAAATATAAAGAAATTTTTTATTTGAGACAGAGTCTTGCTTTGTCACCCAGTGGAGTACAGTGGCACAATCTCAGCTAACTGCAACCTCTACCTCCTGCGTTCAAACTATTTTCACACCTCAGTCTCCCTAGTAGCTGGGACTACAGGCATGCACCACCACACCCAGCTAATATTTTATATTTTTAGTAGAGATAGGGTTTCACCAAGTTGACCAGGCTGGTCTTGAACTCCTGACTTCAAGTGATCCACCCACCTTGGCCTCTCAAAGTGCTGGGATTACAGATGTGAGCTACCACGCCTAGGCTAAAGAAAGTAATTTAATGAATACACTTCATCTTTAGGTTATACAGGTAACTTTTCAACAACAACAAAAACAGGATCTAGGTACCAATAATTATTTGTGAGTCACTAAAAAGATCTAACATAGGCTGGGTGCAGTGGTTCACTCCTGTAATCCCAGCACTTTGAGAGGTTGAGGCAAGCAGACTGCTTCAGCTCAGGAGTTTGAGACCAGCCAGGGCAAACATAGTGAAACCCCATCTGTACAAAAATTAGCCAGGTGTGGTGGGGTACACCTATAGCCCCAGCTACTTGGGAGGCTGAGGTGGAAGGATCACCTGAGGCCAAGAGGCAAAGGTTGCAATGACCTGAGACTGAGAAACTGCACTCCAGCCTGGGTGACAGAGTAAAACCCTGTCTCAAAAAAAAAAAAAAAAAACAAACTAATGTAAAACCACAAGATTATAAAGGAGGCATTACTAAACAGTTGAAACCCAAAACCGTTATTCCAACTCAAAATTACACTTATAAGAAAAAAATTTTTTAATTATATGTAATCCTTATGAGAATGTTTCTCATGTCCTTTTAATCATCCTAAGCAGAAACTATTATTACTATTCACATTTTAAAAATGAGGAATTAAAGAACATTACCACCTCTGAGCATCTATTCCTCTACCAGAAGAAACAGAAAATAAGCATTTCTTTCATTCTTTTTTAAAAAACAGAGATGGTCTCACTCTGTCACCCAGGCTGGAGTGTACTGGTATGATCTTAACCCACTGTAGCCTCCAACTCCTGGCCTCAAGTGATCCTCCCACCTGAGCTTCCTGAGTAGCTGGGATTATGGCAGGAGTCACCAAGTCTGGCAGAAACTACCATTTCTAAACTGTCACAAGAGACTCAGGAAACTCTCCTATGAACATATGTTAAATTGTTACACTCTAAATCACACCAACTTCGGATTCTCTACTAGAACCAGGAAGAGTAACAGTGGTCCCCAGAACAGCCAAGCATTTCTCTCATATAAAACTCCAAAGCTTTAAAAAACCTTTCTTACTACCTTTATGGGTAAGTGAAAATTTACCTACAGTATATCTTCTTAAGTGCAGGCTAGCCAGAACAGTGGCTAACAGTCCCATTCCCCAATTTTGCTAACATACTCTATAAAGAAAAGTGGGTTAAGTCCTGCAAAAACTGTATACTTCATCTATTCTCTGCGATTAACTTTCTGAGAACCAAACAGAAAATAGAATGCCTGGTCATGTCGCAGGAACTGCACCCAAAGAGTCAGAGTCCTGCATACATCCCCTTATCATGGTATCCATGCTTCACTCACCATCTCGGTCCTCATCATGCACACTGAGGTAGAGATATTCTAGGCCTCTTCCTTTTTTGCCATGCTCAGCTCCTTGTAGTTTAGTCATGAGGGTTGTTTTACCAGAACCATCTTCACCTACAAAGGATGTTTGCAAGACAAAGGTGTACTGTTTATTCTGGGCAAGGATGGGGAGGCATGACACTCACATGACAAGGAACAACTAAGAATTTCATGCAAAGCCTGCTGTTGAGGTCTCACCTGCTTTCATAAACAAAGCAGACTTTGCTGGAAGAGTGGTTGGGAGGGTGGGGAGGAGAGGGTGGTAAAGGCAGCAAATTCCAAGATCTAAAATGATATTCTACTGCAGTTATCCTTACTTCACAAGGGAAGTAATGAGGCAGGTCCACAGGCCCTATCTACAATTTATAAGACATGCATTTGGAGAAGTGAAAGTAAAAGGTAGGGTTAGTTTCTCACAAGATAAACTTTCACAAGAAAAACAAGAAATCTTCAAAATATGATACAATTAACCTAAAAGTCCAGGTACTGTGAACTAAAAAAAGGTCTGATCCTGCTTCACAGTGGTGAAGAATGGAAGTTATTTACTTTTGATTTTAGTACATCTCCTTCACAAGCATTCTGGAGGCTGAGAAACTGACGAAAATAGTAACAGACCTAAGCAAAACTCTAGTACAATCTCAGTTAATTATTAAGCACTTCCTCATCTCCCTCCACCCAAACAACACCCCCCTCTCCCTGGATCCTTAAACATCAAGGAGAACCATCGACAACAAACATTACTAGGCACTTCTGGCATTTAATAATATGGAATTACAGAACACGAGAATTGAAAGGCAGTCCACAGATCAAAGACCTCCTCTCCATCTCCAATGCCTCTACCTTATTCAGGCCCTCCGCATCCAGACCATAGTGCGTACCTGTCAGACTGACTTCAGTACCTGCTCATTTTGAGCTACTCGTCCCTCTGCAGGAAGTGTTCTTTCTAAAACTCAAATCTGGTGGTTCTGATCCCCCACTTCTTGAAGATCTCTAAGGGTCCGATATTACCTACCACAGTCATTTCCTGAGGAAGGTCACACATTCTCTTCAGTAACAGTAGGAAAACTACCAAGGTAGTGATTCCCATGAGAATTGGGGGATGGAGGTGAGATAAAAGGCCTCTGAAAATCAGAGAACTTCGAGAAATAGCATTAACTCTTAAGCCTTCCCACAATCTGCCCCCAACTTACCTTAGCAGGCACCAACCACAGGCGCTTCTAGCAGTTTCCAAACCCCATACCCTCTCGTCACCTGTGTCCCTGCATATTGACACTTTTCTGCAAAATACTCAACCCCCAAATCACCCTCCTTCAACAGCTCCAAGCAGTGTGATGCTTCCACAATAATCCGCATGGTACCATGCAATCACCAATACATCCGTCTTCCTCGACTGAGATTCTTGTGCAGTGTTTAAGAGACGTCTATACTGTGCCAGTGTCCAGCCCACAGGTCCCAAGCAATAAATGGACTTGCTGTGTGAATGTACCCAAACTCCCTCATTTGAGGAGAGTGACGCCAGAGAAATCAGGGGACCTGACTCAGGTAATCTAGCAGTGAGAGCAGGAAAAGTCTCCAGTGCTGACTCTCTGTCCTTTGCAAACTCCCTAAAACCTCCGACTGTGCACTACTGATGAGGCTTAAAGAAGGGTTCTGTGGCCATTTCCCCACAGCTCCGAGCCCAGGTCACCTCGTTCTGCCACTTTCTACGCCTAACCTCATCTACTCACTCCCCTCTCCACGATCTCAATTTGGTAACCGTCGAGGCTATGGGGCATCGAAGGCCAAGTGACTCAAACAATGTGCCGACAACCCCAGAGCACCACTGGGCTTTCCGAAAAGGGTAGCATCCCACCCTCAGGCGAGGGAGATTGGTCACTCTCCAGCTGCCTTGCTAGGTCTGACGGTGCCTTTCCCGCCAGGTTGCGGGCAGGCGGCTGGAAAGGGGAAGGCCGGGACCTGTGGGAGGGGCGCCCGCCTAGCCCACCCTAGAGCCCCGGGGCAACGCCTCGCCGCCGGCGCTCACCGAAGACCAAGATGTTCTTGCCGGACGGCAGCTTAGACCTGGCGCGGGTGGACACTTCGCTCAGGATGGAGGACCTGCGGCGACAATGGCAAGAATGGTCAGCCCCAAGCTGGGATGGCCCGGCCCGCGACGGCCCCTCGAATGTGTCCGACGATCCTGCCCAAAGGCCGCGCCCTCCCCTGCCCGGCCCAACCGCCCTCGGCCTCACCATAGGCTCTGGCCTTCCTCCTCCTCACTAGTCAGGTCGCTGACGGCTGCCACCGCGGGCCCGTTGGGGCCCAGCAGCAGCTTCTTTTCCACCCCCACCGGCGCCATCTTGCCAACTGCAGCCACAAAGAGGGCCCTCCCCCGGGCACGCCGAGGACCCGCGAGGACCCCGGCCGGGCCGTTCTCCGCTCGCCGTCCCCCGCCCCGCGCCTCCCGCCGACCTGGCTGCGGGGACTGCGCTGCCCAACGTGTCCTCTAGGCCTGCGACGGCCTCGAACTACCACGGGTTGCGAGGCCGCCGAGATGGCGGACGGCAGTCAGGCAGCCGCCGGGGCAGCCATGCGCTAGGAGGCGGCGGTGACAAGGGCTGGCACCGTCCGCACCGAGGGCGCGCTGGCGGCCTCTGCCGGCCCAGAAGCGCAAAGCAGCGCCTCGCCACGCTCGCTGATTCTCCCCTGAGCCGCCTGGGGCCGGGATAACTGACCCCAAAGCCTAGGCTTTGGAATGAAACTGATGCACACACAAAGGCGCTATTTATCTAGAACTCACTGTGTGCCAGAGTCACACATGATCTCACTGATCTTATCTTTCACAGATGAGGAGCCTAAAGCTCAGAAAGTTTAAGAAACCCACCCGAGGACCCAAGGCTAGAAGATAGCATTCGGTGTTTCTACTCTTATTCATTATATCATGTATGAACTTGGCCTAACTCTAGTCAAGCCTTGCGTTGAAAGACTAGCCTTAAGCAAGACCCCAAAATCCTCATAAATATCCTGCTTTTACCCCATCTCCGCTGAAGACTAAAGACTGTGAGATAGTGCTCTTGACCACAGTGCATAATACACTTGGCTGTGCTTTACTAATATGCTTTTTAAAATGATGTTTTCAGGGAGCCAGCATTTCACACCAGAAGAGCCTTTAATTTCCTCTCGTTGGTGGAGCGGGGGGCAGGTGCAGAGCAGGGAGGAAAACAGGGAAAGGGATAGAAAAGGGAGAGGAGAGTAACCGAAGGAAAACAATACATTCCATTATCAAGCTTTATTTTAGGTGTGGCCTCTACTTGAGGGCTCTTACCATTCTCTATGGAAACAGGCTAACAAGACATTTCTAAATATCACAAGAAAGTGGAATATGGCAGAAAAGCACCAACTAAGTGGGTTTCAGATGAGTAGGATTGTGATCCTGATGCCAAAAATCTGGCAGCATGAATTACAGGATACAAGAAATGGGCATATCATCTGCCAAACTGGATGTAAAGTTTAAACAAGACGAGAGTGAAAACCCATTGAGTTCCTCCCTTGGATATCTGGGAAAATAAGGCAAAGTGCCAGAAGTCCTAAAAGGGCAAGCAGTGCTGAATTTTCACAGGACAGAAAATGGAGTTGAAAATTACAGGCCAATAAGCTTAATCAGCACTAAATGAAATTTCGTGATTTAGAGGTTAAAAAGAGAGTACCAGATTTACACAGTATCTTTCTTTTTTGCAGGAGTACCATGTAGGTGGATGCTGCAGATATAGCAAATGCAGATTTCAATAGGGCTTTGGACAACTCACATCTTAGATGAGAAAGTGAAATGGAGGCTGGATGATGGCATTGAGGCTTATTAAAGACTAGCCCAGCTAGGCATGATGGCGCACGCCTATAATCCCAGCACTCTGGGAGGCCAAGGCGGATGGATTACAATGTCAAGAGATTGAGACCATCCTGGCCAACATAGTGAAGCCCTGTTTTTACTAAAAATACAAATATTAGCTGGGCGTGCTGGTGCACACCTGTAGTCCCAGCTACTCAAGAGGCTGAGGCAGGAGAATTGCTTGAACCCAGGAGGTGGAGGTTGTAGTGAGCTGAGATCACATCACTGCACTCCAGCCTGGTGACAGAGCAAGACTCTGTCTTAAAAATAAATAAAATAAAAAAACAAAGACTAGCCCAGAGATGAAAAGGAGGGACCAGCAAAAAAGGCTGCTAGGGGCCTGCCCAAACCTACTGCCCTGGCTAGCCAAGTCAGGGTGCCATCAGAAACTAAATCTAACAAGATGAAATTTAGCAGGAACTACTAAAGTCCTGTGGAAGGGTTTTAAAAAAATGCATAGGAAGACCAGGTGCGGTGGCTCATGCCTGTAATGCCAGCACTTTGGGAGGCCAAGGCTGGTAGATCTCTTGAGGTCAGGAGTTCCAGACCAGCCTGGCCAATAGAGTGAAACCCCATCTCTACTAAAAGTACAAAAAAAATAATTAGCCAAGAATGGTGGCATGCACCTGTAATCCCAGCTACTTGGGAGGCTGAAACACAAGAATCACTTGACCCCAGGAGACAGAGGCTGCAGTGAGCCGAGATCGCACCACTGTACTCCAGCCTGGACGACAGAGCAAGACTGTGTCTAAAAAGAGAAAAAAATGCATAGGAACGGGATAGGAAATTGTTTGAAAGTAATAAAAATTACAGTCCAAAAGTCATTACTATATTAACTATAATCTGAGAATTGGTCATGTAGAATGCCAAGAAGCCTTTTAGGGTAGAACCCATAAAACCTCACTGATGCTAACAAAGAAGCTAGCCCCCCATGCCAGTCAGGCTGATTTCTTAGGGTGACATTTCTGGACACATTTTGCAAAGACAGAGGTGTCCAGTGGTCAGTGACTAAACTCATAAGGGGACGTGACATACTTGGGCTCATCAATATGAAGGATAAAGATATCTAGAGAGAAGGGAAAGTGTAGCCACTTCTAAAAAGCTAAACCAAATACACACCAAAAAGAAGTGAACCTGACTATACAATGTGGGAGTATTCAAATCAACATCGCAATTAGCCTTTAGAAGAATATTGTTTACTACAGTAAACAATACGGAAACTTTTTAAAGAGACAGGGTCTCGCTCCCTTGTCCAGGCTAGAGTACAGGGAAACACTCATAACTAACTACAACCTTGAACTCTCAAGTAACTAGAACCACAGAGGCATGCCGCCACATCCAGCTAATTTTTAAATTTTTTGTAAAGATGGGGGTCTGTTGCCCAGGCTGGTCTTAAACTCCTTGCCTCAGTAATCCTCCCATGTTGGCCTCCCAAAGTGCTGGGATTACAAATGTGAGCCACCACTACAGCCAAGGAAATATTTTAATTAACAAAATGGCAAATATTAATTTAGTATGTGGGAACCTTAAATAGCTTGGGAAACTATACTTTCTGAATTCTGGGGAGGGACATTTGCACAGTGTAAAAATGCCAAAATCCAAATGTCTCACATAGTATTTATTGCAACATAATGCCAAATAACATTTAAAGGTTCATCATTCTTTTCTCTATGTCCTTTAAGCTTAAGGAAAAATAAAAGCATATTCCTAAACAAATATTTGATCTTATGAAGGAATTTTATCTTATTAATCTGTATACTGAAAATATATTTGCTTTATAAATCATTGTAATAATTTGGTGAGTTTCAGCATCACAAAACTGTTTAATGAAAACTGTATCCTCATTTCCACATTCCTTCTCATGAGAGTTTAGAAAAATACTTTAAATGTAAGGTTGTATCTTTCAAGGCACTGTATTTTAAGAATCCAAACTAAAAACTGACAGTCTTCTTCCAATCAAGAAGCTGCACACTCGGGGCGTTTGGTCAGCTTGTGGTATTTGTGAGCAAGGTCCACAGCCTTCCGTCCTTGCTGAAAGGGGAAAGACCACAAAATTAAATTCCAGTGATTTCCCATTTTCTTAACTCCATTGAAAAGGTAATTTACTTCTTCTTCAGTAAAGTTTTTTCGAGTTCTTCTTGTTTCTGTAATTAGAATTGTAGAATATGTTAGTATTTGCTGAACAAAGGTCCTGAGATGCAAATAAGTGCTTATTTGGATATGTTTAACTTATACTTAAGGATATAAATATAGAGAGAAATGCCAGGGCTACTCATCATGTGGAAACCCACTTCAATTTTAAAAACCTGAGTGCCTAATATTAAGCTAGTTGCTATCACTGCGACTTCTTCAGTAAGTATAACTTAATCTACAGTAGTAATACAATATCTTTCAGTCAAGAAACAAAAGTTTATAAACATTTGATTGTTAATTCAATGTTCCTGTGAGGCCAGTTAACAAACAGCTTACCGGCCAGGAGTGGTGGCTCACATCTATAATCCCAGCACTTTGGGAGGCTGAGGCAGGTGGATTACTTGCAGTCAGAAGTTCAAGACCAGCCTTGCCAATGTGGCAAAATGCTCTCTCTACTAAAAGTATAAAAAGTAGCCAGGCGTGGTGGCACATGACTGTAGTCCCAGCTTCTTGGGAGGCTGAAGCATAAGAATTGCTTGAACTGGGGAAGCAGAGGTTGCAATGAGCTGAGATCGCGCCACTGCACTCCAGCGTGGGCGACAGAGCAAGACTCTGTCTAAAAAAATATAGAGCAAGACTCCATCTCAGAAAATAAATAAAAATAAAAATAAAAAATAAACAGCTTACCTATCTTACAGTCTTCCCAAAGGGCTCCATAACTTGATAGAATAGAAAAGAATATCAACACTTGTTATTTTAAATATTAGGTTTGATAATGATTTTAAGAATAGAGGTCTTTTGAAATTTGCTTTTAAAAATGTGGTCAGCTAGATCAAAACTCAAAATATAGGCTGCAAAATGGGGAAGGAAGTTTTTAATTATCTGGTTTTTAAGGGATACTTTCTATAACCAGAAAGAATATACAGTTGGTATCTGTAAACAAACATTTTCTGGTGATGATTACTAGGAAATAGTATTCTTTAAGCTTTTTTATTTATTATTATCTCATGTTATCATTGTAGGTAGATGCTGGTGAGGAGAAGTTTTTTGTATTTCCACTTGAGGCTGTTATTTACTTTAGTAGTACTGGGTGCAGTTGTCCTGGGTCAACTTGGAAATCTTAGAAAATCTTGCCCTTGCAGGCCAAGACAGCCATTTGTTTAGCTTTCCTAAGAGCTACTGTTCAGACCTTTTAAAACAGAGGAGAAAATCTTCCCAGCAGAAGGTTGAGAAATCAGTGTAAATAATGTCTGATTACTTGATAGTATTATTTAGAATGTAAGCTCCATGAGGACAGCAATTTTTATCTATTTTATTTACCATTGTATCCCCAGTGCTCAAAATAGTATCTGACACACAGTAGGTGGTCAGTAAATACTTGTTGAGAGAAAAAAATTACTGGCAAAACTATCTCAAAACATATCAGTGAAATTACTCCTTCCTTTTAGGTCTACTGGAAAACTGTGGCTATCCAAGAAATAGATTTTAACTTCCCTTGCTAAATAATTTGAACTCATAATAATCAGAACTAGATTGGTTACTATAACTTTCAGGATATTGATCCCTGTAGTTGATCATGTAAAGCCCCTTTTCCATTGTGGCTGCCCTCTCCCTGACTTTTATACTTAACATCTGTGTCCAAATCCTCTAAGATTCCTACAGCAGAGTACTGAGCAGCCTGGAAGAAGGAAACAGGTCTCTACACCCCAAACTCCTTGCTCTGTGGCTTCTTTAGTGCTCCTCTTAATATTGACTAGGTATCAGGGATGAGCAGGGAAAAATGGGCTTATTCTAGGGACTCTTATTTTTCAGGCCCTGTCAAAACACCAATCCATCCTGAAATAGAGCCTTGGGGAAATCTGTAAATGCTTAGTACAGTGGTCCCTTCTCAAAATAATGGGCTCAAATTTGAGCCCAAAATTGAGTATAAAATATAATTAAATGAATTGTAGTAAGTGTCCTAAAAGAAAGTCAAGAGGGGAAAAAATGGCAACATACCAAATATTCCTGGCCTGCTTGTGAAAGAAATGTAAGAATCACTACTTTCCCAAGATTCCTTTCTAAATTCTAAAAAGTTAGGCCAGATTATCTGGTTTTAGCTAAAGCAAGTGTAACCTACAAAAAAAAAAAGTATGTTTTTTTCTGAGCTCAATGTCACTTAACGGTATATGAGACCCCTGTATATAATCATTGTATAACCATAATTATGCCCATTTCATGAAGCTCTGCAAACTATTTTACTATACAAATGGATTACAGAATATTTTTTGTTGTTACCTACTTGCTTTAAGACATTAAAAAAAATCTATTACTAATTTGATGCCAAGTCCTTGTCAAGAACAAGATCTCCAAGTGCATGATGTTTCTATGAAAAATATCCATTTTCTAACAATTACTACAGAAAGTATTATTTCATAAAGTGGGCTCATCTGTAGTGGGACTATACTTAATTATAATTTGCATGCAGAACTTTTAATCTAAAAAAAAGGCCCAAATATAAAAAAAAATTTGAAATTTCTTGAAAGTTTTGGCAGTGAAAATAGCCAAATAAATATATGTGGCAAAATGCTTCCTCAATGTATGAAGTCCAAATGACTCTGTAATAAATAACAGAGTGGCTCTATAGATGTTACTAATTCCTAGATTACTTTGATAAGTAATATATCCAACCAATTTTAGTCAGCGGGTATTAACTCCATATAAATAAAAGAAAATTATAATGTTATTTAATCTTCTGATAAATTGGAAATGGTGATCAATGTGAAATGTTAACCATATAGTTAAATAAAAATTCCCATAAATCAACTAATTGTTTAAGAAGCCTTTTGATTTTTTAAGCAGAGTTTTAAGGTTTATACTATTTGTCTCTTCAATTTTTATTGTTTCAAGGGCTGTAGTTATGAACAAAAACCTCCTGGAAAGTCTCTCTGAAGCACTTGTACATAATAATTGTGTTCTTGAAATAGAAATATGAAGATAGAACAAGGGCTTCTGGAGAATGGCTTTTTGAATTAAATTTCTGTTACTTACCAGCTATTAATAATTATGCCTTACAATAGGAGAAAATTAATATCTAACTTACAATATTGCTATAGGAATTAAAGAAAATAATGTCTATACAACATCTAACACCTAGCAGGTGCTTAATAAATGTTAGTTTACTCCTGCTCCTTCCCCTGCTGGCAGGCAATGGGTGACCAAGCAACGTAAAGAGGAAATTCTCTTTTATTAGAAGGTAGGACCCTCATCAGAGGCAAGGTTTACCATTTAAGATCCATTAATGATGGGTAAGAACAACCACTCAGCTGATCTTTTTTCCTCAGAAATATATGAAATTTAAGTTCATTTAAAAAGTATATATATTCAGCCAGGCACAGTGGCTCATGCCTGTAATCCCAGCACTTTGGGAGGCCGAGGTGGGTAGATCACTTGAGGCTGGGAATTTAAGACCACCCTGGGCAACATGGTGAAACCCTGTCTCTACTAAAAATACAAAAATTAGCTGAGCATGGTGGTGCGTATCTGTAATCCCTACTACTCAGGAGGCTGAGGCAGAAGAATCACTTGAACCTGGGAGGTGGAGGCTGCAGTGAGCCGATTGCTCTGCTGCACTTCAGCCTGGGTGACAGAGCCAGACTCTGTCTCAGGGAAAAAAAAGTTAAATTAAATATATTCACTTATTCCTCCAGGGGTAGTAGATTCATTACTGAGTCGTCGTCTTCTACATGGGGTCAGGAGAATTTCTGAAAAATATGGAAAACATTTAGCACACTTAGCGTATCAATCTGAGTAATAGCATATCAATTCCATTAATATATTTCCTTTATTTCCCCATCTAGTTGGAATCCTTAGGTAAATTAGGAAAAATTTTTAAACTGACAGAGTCTAAGACTACTCCCTGGGTACATCTTGAATTACTGGTTGCTTAGAGACAGATTTTCTTTTTAACATTATCCTCTAGGTTTTAATGTATTTAATGTTGTAGATAATAGTTCAGAAGGTATAGCCATAATTATAGTTTTAAAGCTGCTGAATTAATTACTTTTGTTACAGATAAGTGATTTCCTTAGTTCACTTTTATATCTGTCTTCAGCTTCCACAATGACTCTGTGACGATCACATTGGTATGGGCAAGAGTGCAAGAGCTTGCTAAAGTTTCGGCTATTCAGGGATTTTTCTACTGCTATGCAACCTAAAAGAAAACAAATTAAAGTTATGTATAGATGTCACAAAATATCTAGTAACAAATCTATGAAAGCAAATATCTATGTGATGGTAACTGAAGTAAAATCAGGAACTATGCATACCTCAAGAAGCTCAAAATCATGTAAGAGAGAACAAGACTCAATCTTAAAAAAAAAGAAAAGAGGGCCGGGCGCAGTGGCTCAAGCCTGTAATCCCAGTACTTTGGGAGGCCGAGGCAGGTGGATCACAAGGTCAACATGGTGAAACCCCGTCTCTACTAAAAATACAAAAAATTAGCTGGCCATGGTGGCGCGTGCCTGTAATCCAAGCTACTCAGGAGGCTGAGGCAGGAGAATTGCCTGAACCCAGGAGGTGGAGGTTGCGGTGAGCCAAGATCGCACCATTGCACTCCAGCCTGGGTAAGAAGAGCAAAACTCCATGTCAAAAAAAAAAAGAAAAAGAGCATCTAGGGCTAGGTGTGATGGCTCATGCCTGTAATCCCAGCACTGTGTTGCCCAGGATGGTCTTGAACTCTTGAGCCCAAGTGATCCTCCCACTTGGGAGGATCCCACAGTGAGACCCTGTCCCTACCAAAAAAAAAAAGAAAAAAATAGCCAGTGTGGTGGCACACATTTGTAGTCCTAGCTACTTAAGAAGCTGAGGCAGGAGGATCCTTTGAGACCAGGAGTTCAAGGCTGCAGTGAGCCATCATCACATTGCTGCACAGAATAAGACACTGTCTCGCTCTCTTTTTTTTTTTTTCTGAGATGGAATTTCACTCTTGTTGCCCAGGCTAGAATGCAATGGCACAATCTTGGCTCACCGCAACCTCTGCTTCCAAGGTTCAAGCGATTACTCCTGCCTCAGCCTCCCAAATAGCTGAGATTACAGGCATGTGCCACCATGCCCAGCTATTTTTTAGTAGAGACAGGGTTTCTCCATGTTGGTCAGGTTGGTCTTGAACTCCCAACCTCAGTTGATCCACTAGCCTCAGCCTCCCAAAGTGCTGGGATTACAGGAGTGAGCCACCGCACCTGGCCAAGACCTCTGTCTCTTAAAAAAAAGAAAAGAAAAAAAAAAGAACATCTAGTTTGTCTGGTTTTGAACAAGAGTCACTGTTAAGAGAAGATAACCAAAAGAAGTGATCGTTAGCCTCAGTCAACTTTTTTGTTTTTGACATTATGTAAACTTTCAAACACTGAACCCCCGTGTATCCATCACCCAGCTTCAATAATTATTAACTCATTGCCAATAATGTTTTATTTATACCTCTACCTACTCAGCTCTGTCCTTATATATTCATTCGATTATGATACCTGGAATTTACATTAAAGTATCATTTCATCTGTAAATATTTCACATCTATCCTTAACAGATAGGGACTTGTTTTTGTTTTTCCTGTGACAGGGTCTCATTCTGTCACCCAGGCTGGAGTGCAGTAGTACAATCACAATTCACTTCAATCCTGACACTTTGGGCTCAAGTGATCCTCCAGCCTCAGCCTCCTAAGTAGCTGCAACTATAGATGTGCTTCATCACACCTGGCTAATTTTTTATTTTTTGTAGACACAGGATCTCCTTACATTCCCAGGGCTGGTCTCAAACTCCTGGGCTTAATCCTCTCACCTCAGCCACCCAAAGTGCTGGGATTACAGGTGTGAGTCACTGTACCAAGCAAGGACTTCTGTTCTGAGATAGTGTCTCACTCTGTCACCTGGTGTTGGAGTGCAGTGGCATGATCTCAGCTCACTACGACCTTAACCTCCTGGGCTCAAGCAATCCTCCCACCTCAGCCACCCAAGTAGCTGGGACTACAGGCATGTACCACCACACTCAGCTAATTTTTGTATTTTTTTTAGAGATGGAGTTTCACTATGTAACAGCCTAGGCTGTTCTCAAACTCCTGGGCTCAAGTGATACATTTGCCTCAGCCTCCCTAAGTGCTGGGCTACAAGCATGAGCCACTACGCCTGGCCAGGATCTTTTTTGTAAATACATAAAACTATCATAACACCTAAAAAATAATGCTTAATATAATCTAACATCCAGTCTTCCATTTGCCCCATCAATTCAAAAATTTCTTTTGAAATTTGGTTATTGGAATCATGTCCCAAATAAGGTACACCATTCCTTTATTTTTTTCAAGAGACAAAGTCTCACTATGTTGCTCAGGCTGGACTTGAACTCCTGGGCTCAAGCAATCCTCCCACCTCAGCCTCCCATGTAGCTGGAACTACAGACACATGCACCACTGTGTCTGACTTATATAAGGTTAACATATGTCAAGGTGCTTTTAATCTATCAGTTGTCTGATACATTAGTTGCTTTTATCAGTTGTCATTTACTTACTGAAGTATCTCTTCCTTGTCATTTACTTATTGAAGATACTAGGTCATTTGTACTATAGTTTCTCAAAGACTAAGTTTTGCTGATTGCATCCTAGCTGTGTCCTTTAAAATGTTCTTGTGTGTCCTATAAACTAGTAATTAAATTTAAATGGTCGGATTCAGGTTCAAGTGTTTTTACTAGAATTCCATGCAGGTAGTATTTTGTGTTTCTTACTGTATCACATTAAGAGGTACAAATTCTGTCTCTTTTTTTAAAAAAATGTAATTGGGCAGCCTCTTGAGCCAGAGTAGGCTCAGAGAAACTCCCTCGTTTTAAAAAAATATTAAGATAGATCAGCAGCAAACCACCATGGCACATGTTTACTTATGTAACAAACTTGCACATCATGCATATGTACCTCTGAACTTAAAATAAAAGTTGGAAAAATATTTTTTAAAAAAGATAGATTGGTAGGTTTAAGTTATGTCAGCCATGTCTATCCATTAAAAAATTCTCCATCAGCTTGTCACCTAACTGTATCAGTGGCCCGTTCCTGAAGGACTAGAAGTTGGCCACACAGATAGCTGGCTGAGATGAAGACATTTCAGTACAATGAAGATGTGCAAAAGCACAGAAGTGTGAAAAAGCATAGTGTTCAGAGAATCATGAACACTCTAATAAGGCTAGAGTACAGAGAAGTGTGGGAGAAAAGGTGAGGCTGAGGAGGGTTGCAGGGAACCAGACCAAGGAGAATCTTGAAAGCCATGCTAAGGAATTTTAACTCTCTTCAAGGCAACAAGGAGGAACATAGAGATACTTATTAAGCAGTAAGTTGACATGATTTCATTTGTCTTACAGAAAGGGCAGCTGAAGGCAAGAGGATCAGTTGAGAGGTTACTTTAGTATTCCAGAAAATAAATGGAGAGATTTTGAAACAAGGCATTTGCAGGGAGAATGGAGAGATTTCTGAGGTAAAATTAGAAGGATTTGATGAATAATGAGCTATTGGGGTAAGGAAAATGTTTAAAATAACTCTCAAGAAATCTGGTACTTGATGAAATGGCAGAGTTTGAAATAACCATAGGCTAGGCACGGTGGCTCACACCTGTAGTCCCAGCACTTTGGGAGGCTGAGGCAGGAGGATCATGAGGTCAAGAGATCAAGACCATCCTGGCCAACATGGCAAAACCCAGTCTCTACTAAATACAAAAATTAGCTTGGTGTGGTGGCACGCACAGGTAGTCCCAGCTACTTGGGAGGCTGAAGCAGGAGAATCACTTGAACCCAGGAAGCAGAAGTTGCAGCAAGCCAAGATCACGCCACTGCACTCCAGCCTGGCGACAGAGCAAGACTTCATCTCAAAAAAAAAAAAAGTGGAGAAAAAAGACATATGGGATTCCGATTATGGCTAGACATCAGCTTTAGAGAAACAGAGATCACCTTTTCATCCAAGAGGGAAGAACAATGATGTTCTGAGCTGTATGTAGAGAACTTCAATTTTGTCTATAGAACAGAGTACAACAGCAAGATGAACAAAGAAGAACTACCAGGGTGTAAAAGAGGAGGAAAAGGGATAGAATAAGTATTGTGGACATTTATAAGAGCCCTGCAGAAAAAATAAATAATGGACATGAAACACTAGAAATATTTACATATTTATTATAAATATAAAAATAGGTATTTTAATACTTAATGCCTATGTTTACAGAATAATCCAGAATGCATACCTAGTAATAATGGTTCTCTAAAAACAACAAATATTTATTTTACTCAGTAAGGTTTAATTAATAGATGGTATCAGGACAAAAAGATAAAGTAATAAAAGGTATTGTGTTGATTCATATATATGAATATTGGAATACTGGAAGCTCAGCCTGATGCTGATAAAAGGTGGTTTTGTTTTGTTTTATTTGAGATGGAATCTCACTTTGTAGCCCAAGCTGGAGTGCAGTGGTATGATATTGGCTCACTACAACCTTTGCCTCTGGGGCTCAAGCGATTCTCCTGCCTCAGTCTCCCAAATAGCTGAGAATAGAGGCATGCACCACCATACCCTTTTAATTATTTTGTATTTTTAGTAGAGACCGTGATTCACTATGTTGCCCTGGGTTGTCTCAAACTCCTGAGCTCAGGTGATCCACCTGCTTCGGCCTCCCAAAGTGCTGAGATTACAGGCATGAGCCACCGAGCCTGGCCTGTTTTTTTTTTTGTTTCGATTTTTTGAGACCGAATCTCGCTCTGTCACCCAGGCTGGAGTGCAATGTTGTGATCTTGGCTTACTGCAACCTCTGCCTTCCGGGTTCAAGCAGTTCTCCTGCCTCAGCCTCCTGAGTAGCTGGGATTACAGGCGTCTGCCACCTCACTCGGCTAATTTTTTTGGTAATTTTATTAGTAGAGACAGGGTTTCACCATCTTGGCCAGACTGGTCTCGAACTCCTGACCTCATGATCCTCCTGCCTCGACCTCCAAAGTGCTGGGATTACAGGCATGAGCCACTGTGCCCTATTTTTTTTTTTTCCTCTTTTTTCTTTCTGGCCTTTTTTTTTTTTTACTTATAGAGACAAGGTCTTGCTATGTTTACCATGCTGGTTTTGAACTCCTGGCCTCAAGCAATCCTCTAGCCTTAGCCTTCCAAAGTGTTGAGATTACAGCTGCCTCACCTGGCCAAGATAGAAGATATTAATTTGAATGTTTTGATATTCCATAGTATTATTCCTCCAAAGGAAACAAAGTAAATCATATATATAGAACTATTGTAAATTCTAGTTAATTACAATAAGTGTGGTGGCTCATTCCTGTAATCCCAGAACTTTGAGAGGCTGAGGCGGGCGAATCACTTGAGGTCAGAAGTTCAAGATCAGCTTCGCCAACACGGTGAAACCCTGTCTCTATGGAAAAAAAAAAATAGCTGGGTGTGATCCCGGGTACCTGTAATAACAACTACTTGGGAGGTTCAAGTTCAAGAATCACTTGAACCCGGGAGGTGGAGATTATAGTGAGCCAAGATTGCACTACTGCACTCCAGCCTGGGTGACAGAGTGAGACTCCGGATCAAAAAAAAAAATTCTAGTTAATTAATATCATAAAAGTCTTTGACTGTGAAACAACTGCAATTAAAAAAATACTTACCTGAGCACCTATATGTCAATATTTTGGAACAACTGTCAGTTGCTAAAAAACTGACTACTTCTTTATTTATTATATCTGAACATAATGTAAATGGATCTGGAAAAAATTGCAAAATGGAAGATTTTTCTGATTAATGAAAAGAATCAGACATTTAAAAAATATATTAAATATCAAGCTTTTCATAAACCTTAGCCTAGTACTATGCATCCAGTGATGCTGGTAATAAACAGAAAGAGTCTGGATATTAATAGAAGGCATTTACAACAGAAAGAGTCAAAGGTGCGGCTTATACTTTAGAGGGCCAATATACCAACGGACTTTTTTTTTTGAGGCGGAGTTTCGCTCGTTACCCAGGCTGGAGTGCAATGGCACGATCTCAGCTCACCGCAACCTCCGCGTCCTGGGTTCAGGCAATTCTCCTGCCTCAGCCTCCTGAGTAGCTGGGATTACAGGCACGCGCCACCATGACCAGCTAACTTTTTGTATTTTTAGTAGAGATGGGGTTTCACCGTGTTGACCAGGATGGTCTCGATCTCTTGACCTTGTGACCCACCTGCCTCGGCCTTCCAAAGTGCTGGGATTACAGGCTTTTTTTTTTTTTTTTTGGAGATGGAGTCTCACTCTGTCACCCAGACTGGAGTGCAGTGGCATGATCTCGGCTCACTGCAACCTCTGCCTCCTGGGTTCAAGCAATTCTCCTGCCTGAGCCTCCCAAATAGCTGAGATTATAGGTGCCCACTACCACACCTGGCTAATTTTTGTATTTTTAGTATAGATGGGGTTTCACCATGTTGGCCAGACTGGTCTTGAACTCCTGACCTCAGGTGATCTGCCCACCTCCACTTCCCAAAGTGTTGGGATTACAGGTGTGAGTCACCCCACCTGGCCAATGACATTTTTAGCTACATTGGTTACCTAAATATATTGGTTACCAAAGAAACATTTTTAACCATACCTGTTACTGGTAACTGCTGCTTTATGTTTTTGGTAATGTGAACTGGATGTTTAAAAACATGGTCACTAAAAGGAAATAGACACCAGATTACTAAAAGTAAACATACTGTTTGGTGTGTGGACCAGTGTTTCTGTAAGCAGTGTTGTGATTTTGGGTGTTTGGTAGGCAAAAGGAACTGGGAATCAGGATCTACCAAAATCTACCAAATTCTGCCAAAGTAGAGCCTGTAACAATTACAGTCTTGTTTCTAGATCTAGAGTTAAACAAGACTCCAGAGGGCAACAGTGTTGATGCCAGAAGAAACATGGGAGAAAAAGATTATAAAAAGAAGAAAGTAGGAGAGATGAGGGCAAAAAGGAGAGAGCAAAATCAGTGGAGCAAAAATGAACATGGGCGCGGGATGGCAAAGTGCTAACAATAATAATTTAAAGAGCTGAATTTAAAAATCCTTCCTAACCCTCAAAACATTTGTGTGTTTGAACCCTGGGGTCCTTGATGAATAAATACAAGTTTTGGTTATACTGTCACAATGATAACAGGCAGTACAGAAAAAGGCAAGAACTGTAGACCACATAACAGGCATAGCAGTAGCTTTATGATTATAGCTATCTGCCCATGTACATATATTTGTAGGCACTACTACATTGGAGAAAAAAAGCGTTACAAAGAGATGGAAATATAAATAACTTGGCTGAGGTAGAAATATGGCTAACCCTAGAGGGTGGAAAGCTTGGGATGGAGGGCAAGAAGGCTGGCCCAGGAGCATGTCTCACTGCTTCTCAACTCCCCATCCCTGATAAATCAAGTTAAAATTAACATCAAGAATGGTCTTGAAACAGACAAAAGGGGTGGTCTTGGCATAATCCTTCTTCCTGGTACATAGTTTATACCCTTCAACCTGTCCGAAATGTAGTAGCATACTCTTCATTTTTCCTAAGCACTGTAATCATCAGAGCACAACCCAATAAAGGGTTTAAGAAAAGCTACAATCCCAGGTCTAGCCCCATAAGCTAACTACAAGGGAAAAAAGAGTATGTTCTAGAGACAAAGTGCAGGGAAAAAATAAAAGGGCAAACCCAAACCAAATTTTCCTCACATCCTTTATCACATTAAATTTAAAATGTGATATTCTCTTTATCACATTAAATTTAAAAACTAGTTTTTGCTATACTGCTGATAGATTATCAATGTATGCATTGTTACTTCAGATAAACAGTTTCCATTTAGGTTTTATTTTCTGACTATCCTTTCTAAAATTCAAATCTGTTATGTCACTCAATTTAAAATCCTTAGTCACTCCCTATAACCTGTGAGTTAAACCCCAAACTCCAGAGTATGACTTTGCAAGGCCCTAGATGAACTGGCCCATAGCTCCCCGTACAAACTCCTTTCCCAACACTTCCTACTTTCGGCTCTTCCCAAGACCATGTTTCATCACATCATTTCTATATGCCCAGTATTTGACAGTGTGGCATACAGTAGTACACAATAAATGCTTGCTGAATAAATAAAAGTTACAATTAATTATTAAACATACCTTGATTGAGAAGCAAAATTATTTTCAAAAGTTTCTTCATGTAAGTTTTGATTGCAGCTTGACTTGGCTTTATATAAAGTCTTATTTCGCTCACTCTGCCTATAACAAGCATGAACTGGATTTGCACTCTTTAATGTTGTCTTCATTTGGTCATCATTTGTACATGCTTTAGACATGACTCCATGGGACTTATAACTCTGAAGCTGTCCAAAATGGCTTTTATCCTTGTCTTCTGCTTTGGTACCTCGACCAATATGATCTCCATGGAGATTTTTCCATGTGTTCTGAATACTTACATTCATAGATGAAATATTATCCTGATAGTTTTCTCTTTGTATTTCTTCCTACAATGTAAAAATGACAAGTAAATAATTTCAATATGGCTGGATGTGGTGGCTCACGCCTGTAATCCCAGTACTTTGGGAGGCCGAGGTGGGCGGATCATGAGGTCAAGAGATTGAGATAATCCTGGCCAACATGGTGAAACCCTGTCTCTACTAAAAATACAAAAATTAGCTGGGCGTGGTGGTGTGTGCCTGTAGTCCCATCTACTTTGGAGGCTGAGGCAGGAGAACTGCTTGAACCTGGGAGGCAGAGGTTGCAGTGAGCCAAGATCGCACCACTGCACTCCAGCCTGGCACCTGGCAACAGAGCGAGACTCTGTCTCAAATAATAATAATTTCAATATAACCATTCCCTTTATAATCCAATTTATACTTCACTTAAATAATGAAGAATGAAGAAAAAATTTATGGTTGCCAATAGAACATATATGATAAAAGGGCCGTTCACATTAGGAAGAAAAGGGGTTTATTCATTAAATGATATTGGGACAATTAGGTAGCCATCTGGTGAAAAAATAAGTTGATACCTTTCCAAGTATCATCCAAAATCAAATAATAAAAGAAAACTGCCGGGCGCGGTGGCTCACGCCTATAATCCGAGCACTTTGGGAGGCCGAGGCAGGTGGATCACAAGGTCAAGAGATCAAGACCATCCTGATCAACAAGGTGAAACCCCGTCTCTACTAAAAATACAAAAATTAGCTGGGCATGGTGGCGCGTGCCTGTAGTCCCGGCTACTCAGGAGGCTGAGGTAGGAGAATTGCTTGAACTCAGGAGGCGGAGGTTGCAGTGAGCCGAGATCACACCATTGCACTCCAGCCTGGATAACAAGAGCAAAACTCCATCTCAAAAAAAAAAAAAAAAAAACTAATAAAAAAATTGTAAAGTTCTGCTAGAAACCAAAAATGTTATTCTGGGCAGGGCTCTCAGGAATAAAGAACCAGAAGTAAAACCAAATGACTATCAAAACACCCATAAGTAATATGTACAAAGCATATCTTAAGCAACAGGATAATTTTTGTTTATTTGTTTTATATTAAGATGGGGTTTCACCATGTTGGTCAGGCTGGTCTTGAACTCCTGACCTCAGGTGATCCGCCCACCTTGGCCTCCAAAGTGCTTGGATTACAGACATGAGCCACCACGCCCAGCCGATAATTTTTTTTTTGAGATAGGGTCTTGGTCTGTTGCCCAGGCTGGAGTGCGGTGGCATGACCACAGCTCACTTCAGCCTTGACTTCCTGAGCTGAAGCAATCCTCCCACCTCAGCCTCCTGAGTAGCTGGAACCGCAGGCACACACCACCACACCAGGCTAATTGTTTACTATTTCTTTGTAGACACTGGGTATTTCCATGCTGCCCAAGCTGGAGGATAATTTTTTAAAATCACATTTATAAAAAGCGACTACAATGAAATATGAAAAAGATCAATGATAGCATGAAAAAGCAGGCACAGAAGATGAACAGAGAGTCTATAGGAAAAGAAATATAAATAGCTCTTAAACATAAGAAAAAATGTTTCATCCCACTTAGGAGAAATAAATATTAAAGCTACATTGAGATATCTTTCTTCATCTATCACACTTACAAAGATCAAAAGACTTTGAGGAAACAGATACTCTTTTTTAAAAAACAAAAAAAACCACATTTTTTTCTTTTAGAGATGGGGTCTCACCATTTTGGCCAGGCTGGTCTTGAACTCCTGACCCTTAGGTGATCCCGCCCACCTCAGCCTCCCAAAGTGCCAGGATTACAGGCGTGAGCCACCAAACTGGCCTGGAAACAGATACTCTTTCTTTTTTTGAGACGGAGTTTCGCTCGTTACCCAGGCTGGAGTGCAATGGTGCGATCTCGGCTCACCGCAACCTCTGCCTCCTGGGTTCAGGCAATTCTCCTGCTTCAGCCTTCTGAGTAGCTGGGATTACAGGCATGTGCCACCATGCCCAGCTAATTTTTTGTATTTTTAGTAGAGACAGGGTTTCACCATGTTGACCAGGATGGTCTCGATCTCTTGACCTCGTGATCCACCCAACTCGGCCTCCCAAAGTGCTGGGATTACAGGTGTGAGCCACCTTTACTAGTGGGAGTATAAATTGATACAACTTCTGTGGAGAAACAATTTGACCGTATCTTTCATAATAAAAACTATGCCTATTTAGGTATTCGAGAGGTACTATTATTTTCTCCATTTGTCAATGATGAAACTCAAGCACAAAGAGATTAAATAACTTGCCAAAACTTCCCCTAAAGTTCACAGCATCCATGAATTTGGGTATCTGTGGGAGATCCTGGAATCAGTTCCCCATAGATACCAAGGGATGTCTGTACTTTAAATGGGTGAACAGTTATGGTATATGAATTGTATCTCAATAAAGCTGTTACAGAATTCACTCACACACACACACACACACACGTACATGTGTAGCAGGTATTTAGAGTTGTTTGCAATGGTAAGAATTTAAATATAACCTACATGTCCAACAATAAATGACTGGTTAAATCAATTATGGCACGTCTGTAATAGTGAATACTACTCAGACAATTAAAATAATAAAACCACTATATTATACTAACTTGGACATTATGTTTTTATTTATTTATTTTGAGATGGAGTCTTGCTCCATCTCCCAGGCTGGAGTGCAGTGGTGCTATCTCAGCTTACTGTAACCTCTGCCTCCCAGGTTCAAATGATTCTCCTGCCTCAGCCTCCCGAGTAGCTGGGATTACAGGTGTGTACCACCACATCCAGTTAATTTTTGTATTTGTAGTAGAGACAGGATTTCACCATGTTGGTCAGGCTGGTCTCAAACTCCTGACCTCATGATCTACCCATCTTGGCCTCCCAAAGTGCTGGGATTACAAGCGTGAGCCACTGTGCTTGGCCTGTTTTTATTTTTTTAAATATATGCACATACAAAGACACAAAGCTGCATTCATAGAAAAATATATTTATATAGAGAGGAGAGAGGTTATTAGATTATTACTTCTTTTTTCTTTCTGGAACCCCAATTATTCAGATGTTAGATCTCTTGGCTCAATATTCCATGTTTCTTGTCTTTTCAGTCATCATTTCTACTTTTTAAAAATCTTTTTTGTTCTATGTCAAAGCATGATTCTTCAAGTATTACTATGGAGTTTTCCATTTAAAACCATTAAAAACAAATAACTTGGGAAGAAAACATTTTTTTACCCTCCAACCTCTACTGTTAAAAAATATTGGCTGGGCATGGTGGCTCATGCCTGTAATCCCAGCACTTCGGGAGGCTGAGGCAGGTGGATCACTTGAAGTCAGGCATTTGAGACCAGCCTAGCCAACATGAGAAGACCCTGTTTCTACTAAAAATACAAAGAAATTAACAGGGTATGGTGGCACACATCTGTAATGCCAGCTACTTTAAAGGCTGAGACATGAGAATTAGTTGAACCTAGGAGGCAGAGGTTGCAGTGAACCGAGATTGTGCCACTGCACTCCAGCCTGGGCATCAGAGCAAGACTGTGTCAAAAAAATTGTTTTTAAATTCACGTCAGTGTAGTGTGGAGAAAAAAGAAATAAAATTTTAAAATTTGAAAAAAGTTCTATATTCTTTAAAACAAATAATCCAACCCTATTTCCTTCTCTTTCAAGCTGTTCTATTCTGTGGAGAATTTCCTTTGCTTTCTTCCAGTGCTCTTCGAAATTCTTCTCATTCACATTTATGTCCTTTAATTGCTGTGCTTCATTTTCATCAAAAGGATATTCTCCTAGACTGAGAGATAATTTCTCAGCTTTGTAATATGGGAAAAAACAATGAACGAAAGGTTATTTAAACACTTTATATATAATGACAACCTCACACCCTACCCTCTGCTTTCTCTAAATTTTTCCATCCAGACTATCTTAACAGCTTAATTGGTACTGAAAAATAAGTGGAAAGAGTACTTTGCAGAGGCCCAGGACTCAAACTGTCATAAATTAGACTTTACTCTTCAGAGTTACAGAAGAAAGAACATGCAAATATGTTATGCCAGGCACATAAACACTCTCAGGTACATGGATACTGGTTTTAAAGTAGTTATATTTTTAGCCCGGGCACAGTGGCTCATGCTTGTAATCCTAGCACTTTGGGAGGCCGAAGCAGGAGGATCACTTGGGGTCAGGAGTTCAAAACCAACCTGGCCAATATGGTGAAATTCCAACTCTACTTAAAAACAAAAAAACAAAAAGTAGGCAGGCATCATGGCATGCCCTATAGTCCCAGATACTTGGGAGGTTGAGGCACAAGAATCCCCTGAACCCAGGAAGCAGAGGCTGCAGTGAGACATGATTGCACCACTGCACTCCAGCCTGGGCAACAGAGCAAGACTTCATCTAAAAAAAAATAGTTTTTAAAAATAATAATGTTCATAAGGCGATTCCTTCCTATAATCTTTTAAATTTTTTTTTTTAAACATAGTGTGCCTGCAGTTTTTCTTCCACAAAGATCAAAATTCTTATGGCCACTGCCCTCTGAGCTCAAGCTACATTGGCCATCAATTCCTTAAGTGCACCAGGGTCCCCCCATCACAGGGCCTTTGTGCCTCATTGTTGCTTATGCCTGAGACACTCACTGCTAACAAATTCCTTTCTTTTAACCTAGTTAACTCTAGACATTGAGTTCTTAGCTCGAGAATCACTTCCTCCCAAAGCCTTTTCTGCTCCATGTCTAGGTAAGATTCCTTTGTTATAGGCTCTTAAAGATCTGTGGTCCATCCCTTTATACTTGTTATGTCAATTTATAATACCACATAGTGTCTTTTTTTTTTTTTTTTTTTTTTTTTTTGAGACAGAGCCTTGCTGTCACCAGGCTGGAGTGCAGTGGTGCAATCTTGGCTCATTGCAACCTCCGCCTCCCGGGTCCAACAATTCCCCTGCCTCAGCCTCCCAAGTAGCTGGCACTACAGGTGCTACGGGCATGTGCCACCACACCTGGCTAATTGTTTGTGCTTTAGTAGAGAGGGGTTTCACCATGTTGGCCAGGATGGTCTTGATCTCCTGGCCTCCTGATCCGCCTGCCTTGGCCTCCCAAAGTGCTGAGATTACAGGTCTGAGCCACTGCATCAATCCATAATCTCATTTTTTGAGTTACTATTTCTCAAATTAAGCTCTGTGAATACACAGACTTTTTTTTTATCACTGTATACCTGATGCCTAGCACACTGCTCAGCACATAACGGAAACTCAAAACATTTTAAAATAAATAAACGTACTTATGATTTAATAATAAATAAACCTTAGTCCTCAAATTCCTACAAATGAAATTTGTGTACATGGCATAAAATAGTGAATTAGCTATACTGCTGCTCTCTTCCACATAGGTTTGTATATGCTGAATATACCCTAGTTGTCATATCCAAATTACATACTCTTTTTTTTGAGACAAGGTCTCACCCTATGACCCAGGCTGGAGGGCAGTGTTGTGAACAAAGCTCACTGCAGCCTCAACCTGAGCACCTCCTGAGCTCAGATGATCCTCCTACCTCAGCTTCCCAAGTAGCTGGCAGGCATGCACCACCATGCCCAGATAATTTTTTAAATTTTTTTATAGAGACCTAATTTCTCCATGTTGCTCAGGCTGCAAAACTCCTGGACTCAAGTGATCTGCCTGCCTTGGCCTCCCAAAGTGCTGGGAGTACAGGCATGAGCCACTGTGCAGGAACTACTCTTCTTTTCAAACGTATGAAGAATCTGAGAGCTAAAAGGGCTTGGCTCATGAAAGCAGATATAAATTCCCCTTTATAAATTTTGGTTGGTATGTCCTTAAAGTAACAGTAAACTTACTAATTTTTTTGCAGTTGTAAAGCACAAATGTGGCAGCTTTGTTCAGTTCCTCATTCTGAGATTCAGTTAAGGCTTGAATCATGAGTGGAAGGCCATTGTGCTTAAACAGGTCATACTGATTTTCCTCTGGAAAACAAAATTAAAGGGGACAATAATTGTATCAGAAACTATCTATATGAGGTCATATTTTTTCCTTGTGATAATTATGAACATAGTTCAAAATGTTAAAAATAGGCTGGGTGTGATGGCTCACTCCTGTAATCCCAGCACTTTGGGAGGCTGAGATGGGTGGATCACTTGAGGTCAGGAGTTCAAGACCAGCCTAGCCAACATGGTAAAACTCCATCTCTACAAAAAATACAAAAAAATTAGCTGGGCATGGCAGCAGGCACCTGTAATCCCAACTTCTCAGTAAACTGAGGCATGAGAACTGCTTGAACCTGGGAGGCACAGGCTATAGTGAGCCAAGATCGTGCCATTATACTCCAATCTGGGCAACAGAGTGAAACTTCTAAAAAAAAAAAAAAAATCAAAAAAATTTAAAAATAGAGAAACACATAGTTTCAAAAGGATTTTTAATACAGAAAGTAATTCACTTACACTTAATACCCATTTCATAAGTGATTTCTGAAATGTAGCCACACAGTATCATAATTCATAAAAGTAAACAGACTGCCCTCACTTGACTTGAAAAAGATTATATTAATCCTAAATTACAGAGAGGTTAAGGTAAAGAACAGACAATAAATTAACAGAGGGAGTAGAAAGTGAAGGAAGGAAGAAAGAGTAAAAGCAGCAACAGAAAGCAAAGGGAGGAGAGCAGAAAAGTGAGAGGGGATAGAGTGGGGGGGGAGATTAGAAGAAGAGAGATGGGTAGAGAGGAAGGTGGAGAGAGTTGGTAAGAAGGAGTAGAACAGAAGGAGAATGGGAGGAAAGTAGAGAGGGGGAGGAGGAAAATAAAAGGGGGAGAAGGAAGAAGAGAAGAGAAGAAAAGAGAAGAGAAGGAAAAGAGAGTAACAGGTAGAAAAAGAAGGAATCTTTGAAAGTTTTAACAAGGAGAACAGAATTAGATTTGTCCAGCAATGTGCAGAGTGGACTAAAAATGAAGACAGAAGGGAAGGAGCTTTCTCCCTAAGCTGCAGTGAGAAAATCACTGCAATAATATTGGTGAAAGATGTTGTAGAGCTAAGAGCCTACTTTGGGAGGACAGCACTGGAACTGAACAGAAAGGGATAAACAGAAGTAGAATCACAGATCTTAGTGGCTGACTTAATACAATGAGTGAAGGAGAATTAGAAGTTAAAATGACTAGTTTGGGGTCTGAATAACTAGGAGAAAAGCAATACTTTTTTCTTTCTTTCTTTCTTTTCTTTTTTTTTTTTTTTTTTTTTTTGAGACAGAGTCTCACTCTGTCGCCCAGGCAGGAGTGCAGTGGCGCAATTCAGCTCACTGCAACCTCCGCCTTCTGGGTTCAAGCAATTCTCCTGCCTCAGCCTCCTAAGTAGCTGGGATTACAGGCCCCCACTACCATGCCTGGGTAATTTTTGTATTTTTAATAAAGATGGATTTTCACAATGTTGGTCAGGCTGGTCTTGAACCCCTGACCTCATGATCCACCCACCCTGGCCTCCCAAAGTGCTGGGATTACAGGTGTGACCCACTGCACCTGGCAAAAGCAATACCTTTAAGACCATCACATGACTGGAAGAAAAAAACAGACGTGTATTTCCACTCTACTATTTTAATAACCATACTCAATAAATCTAATACATACCACAATCCTCTGTGCAATGACCAAGAGTGAGCATGATGCTGAATTTTTCTCCTGAATCCAGACTTTCATGAAGCAGTAATGCCAGAAGTTTTGAAACAATGTGGTACTTGCAGAGTACTATCCCAAAAGTAGCTATTAGTACAAAATAGGAAAAAGAGATACTCAGAAAAATTTAAAACGTATGAATATATATATATATTCATATAAATATATATATATTCATATAAATATATAAATATATACTAATATATTTTTCAGAGTTTATTCAGGCAGAATGTTATATATCTATATAACATTAAATATACAAATAACATCTAATAAAGATGTGTATGTGTGAATATAAATAAATTCATTGTAATAAGATGATGGCTTATTACCATAACCCTCATTACTTTTCCTTCCCATACTAAAGACATATTACTAAAGCAAATTTTTTGAAGAATTTTTTTCTTAATTGTTCTGCAGAATGCTGTGAAGATGAAGTAACACTAACTTCCTAAAAGCTGAGTATGCTTACTCTCCCCTTATATACTTCTTATCTAGATTGAACAGTAAAGACTTTCCTACATAATCAGTTCCTGCTGACATTTAAAATACAATATTGGGCCAGGCACGGTGGCTCGCGCCTGTAACCCCAGCAGTTTGGGAGGCCAAGGTGAGCAGATCAGTCAGGAGACTGGGACCATGCTGGCTAACACGCCTCTACTAAAAATACAAAAAAAAATTAGCCGGGCATGGTGGTGGGCACCTGTAGTCCCAGCTACTTAGGAGGCTGAGGCAGAAGAATCGCTTGAACCCAGGAGGCAGAGGTTGCAGTGAGCCAAGATCACGCCACTGCACTCCAGCCCGGATGACAGAGTGAGACGTTGTCTCAAAAATAAAAAATATACTATTAACTGATCACAGTTCTACTGACTTATTGATGCAATAAAGCATATGTGAAGCTATGCTGAGATGTGATAAAAGTCTAAAAGTCTACCATTTTAGGCTATACTTCTCCTAATGGGGCTTTTAACAGAGTTCACCCAGAGTCTAACCATAGAAGTTAGGAATTCACAACAATAAAAAAGTTGTGAATTCCTAAGGGACTACATCTTAATCAATTTCATACTCGTAAAGCTCAACATATAGCAGGCCCTAAATAACCACTTTTTCAAAAACCATCTATTTTTTGCCCCCCAGTTGTTAATACAAATTTTTTGTTTGTTAATACAAATAGTGTTTCTTACTCTTCAGTGTTTGCACATGTGAGAAGCAGCAGCCATGAGTTCAAGTCTGGTTCCGCTACTCACTAGCAATGCTGTATTGGGTAAGTCCAACCCCATACTTAGCAGAAAGAGATGTATTCTTTATATAAATTGAGTTTGCCATTCCTTAATCTCAAAAATATCTCTTGGTTTCTCATCTGAAGCTTTTAATTTTTTTTTTTTTTTTTTTTTGAGAGAGATAGTCTTGCTATGTTGACCAAGCTGGTCTCAAACTCCTGGCCTCAGGCAATCCTCCCATCTTGACCTCCCAAAGTACTAGATTACAGGCATGAGCCACCATGCCCAGTCTGAAAATTTTAACTTAATGCTGCTTTTTTTTTTTTTTTTTTTAATGGAGTTTTGCTCTTGTTGCCCAGGCTGATCTCAGGTCTCTTTTTTTTTTTTTTTTTTTTTGAGACAGAGTTTCGCTCTTGTTACCCAGGCTGGAGTGCAATGGCGCGATCTCGGCTCACCGCAACCTCCGCCTCCTGGGTTCAGGCAATTCTCCTGCCTCAGCCTCCTGAGTAGCTGGGATTACAGGCACGTGCCACCATGCCCAGCTAATTTTTTGTAATTTTTAGTAGAGACGGGGTTTCACCATGTTGACCAGGATGGTCTTGATCTGTTGACCTCGTGATCCACCCGCCTCGGCCTCCCAAAGTGCTGGGATTACAGGCTTGAGCCACCACGCCCGGCCTGATCTCAGGTCTCTTACTGCACCTCTGCCTCCAGGGTTCAAGTGATTCTCTCATTTCAGCCTCCTGAGTAGCTGGGATTACAGGCGCCTGCCATCACATCTGACTAATTTTTGTATTTTCAGTAAAGACAAGGTTGGCCAGGCTGGTCTTGAACTCCTGACCTCAGGTGATCCGCCCACCTGAGCCTCCCAAAGTGCTGGGATTATAGGCATGAACCACTGTACCCGGCAGTGCTGGATAATTTCTAATACTCCCTTCCACTTGTGAGAAACTGTTAGTCTAAACCATGTTACTGTTTAATCTACTATTTCAACACTCATCATGCTATATTCAAACAAAATTCAATTTCAAAACAACTAGTAAGCATTGTTACTCACGATTATCAGCAATGCATGCATCCACGGTCTTTGTCACAACCACTGCAAGTTTAGCACTGGAAAGAGTCTCATGTGAATCAGATTCCAGTTGCATGAGAACTTGTGCCAATACATCCAGTCCACCCACAGATATAAAGTATTTCTGAGCATATGCTTAAAAAATAAAGTAGCAAAACTATTAATATTTTAAACAAGACAGGTGAATGGTTTTATTCAATAAATTTGCACTAAACATAACATTAACTTGATCTGTTCAAATACTTTCTAAAAATCCCACAATTAAATAATTTAAAATCTAATCTTTACCTGTGCATATACATAATCAAAATAATTATTTATGTAAGCACCTTACTTTAACATAGTAAAACTATATGTATAGCACAGTATTTCTTGTGTCTTAGAAATCTTTTATGTTTCATTTAGTAAGAACTGCTCTATTTTGTAAAAATGACATTATTAAACTGTCCTTTGCACTGAACATGGTGGCTCATGCCTGTAGTCCCAGCACTTCGGGAGACTGAGATGGGCAGATTGCTTGAGATCAGTTCAAGACCAGCGTGGCCAACATGCTGAAACCCCGTCTCTACTAAAAATACAAAAAATAAGCTGGGCATGGTGGTGCACACCTATAAACCCAGCTACTCAGGTAGCTGAGGCAGGAGGATCACTTGAATAGAGGAGGGGGAGGTTGCAGTGAGCTGAGCTCATACCACGGTACTCCAGCCTGGTTGACAGAGTGAGACTCTGTCTCAAAAAAGCAAATCAAAATGTGTCCCTCAACAGCATTAAACAAGTATTTCAATAGAGTTATAAAGAATATATTCATTCATTCAGCTTGGTAATTAGCAAGTTGTCTGTTTTCTGCAATCTAACTAATTCCTCAGATTGTTTGACTCTTCAAAGTGCTCTTCTAAAAGAGTATACATCTCATCCATCATATTTACACCTAATTCTTTTAGTTCTTGAAGCTTAAAATTATAACACATCACTGAGACTCATAACGACTACTCCAAGCAAAGATTCGATGGCTGGTATATATTTTTTGTTCCCTGGATGAAAATAATTCTGGGCTGGGCATGGTTTCTCACGCATTTAATCCCAACACTCAGGAGGCCAAGGCAGGTGGATTACTTGAGCTCCGGAGTTCAAGACCAGCCTGGGCAACGTAGTGAAACCCTGTCTCTAAAAAAAAAATACAAAAAAATTAGTTGGGCATGGCGGCGCATGCCTGTAGTCCCAGCTACAGGGAGGCTGAGGTGGAAGGGTAGTTTGAGCCCAGGATGTCGAGGGTGCAGTGAGCTATGAGTATGCCACTTCACTCTAGTCTAGGTGACAGAGCAACACCCTATCTCAGAAAGAAAGGAAAAGAAAAGAATTCTGATGGGTAAGTATCCAATGGGTCTCTGGATACAAAGGTCTCTAACAGCCTCTGTCTCAGTAATGGGCTTATAATAAATGAATATACGGATATATAGGCTGCTGATTATAAATCTACCAACCTTCTTGTTTATTCTAGTTCCATAAAGTAAAGCAAAGTGATTTAAAGACAAAAATTAATTTTTGTATTGTTTAACAAAACAGATATTAGTCTAAAAATCATATTCAGAATTTTTCACATCTGGGAAAGGAATTTTTAAAAAAATTTTTTATTATTTATTTATTTATTTATTTTTTGAGATGAGGTCTTACTCTGTCATCCAAACTGGAGTGCGGTGGCGCCATCTTGGCTTGCTGCATCCTCTGCCTCATGGTCTCAAGCAATTCTTCCACCTCAGCCTTCTAAGTAGCTGGGACTACAGGCAAGCACCATGCCCAGGTAATTTTTGTATTTTTGGTAGAGATGGTGTTTCACCATGTTGTCTAGGCTGGTCTCGAGCTCCTGAACTCAAGCAATCTGCCTGCCTTGGCCTCCCAAAGTGTTGGGATTACAGGCGTGAGCCATTGCGCCCAGCCCAGAAACATTATTTAAGGACAGGCAAACATTTTCAATATACGGTGGCTCCAAAATAGGATTTTCTACTAAAAAGTATTTTCATTTTTAAAAAATCTTCAAAAAAGAGGCTGGGTGTGGTAGTAGCTCATATCCGTAATTCTAGCATTTTTGAGAGGCTGAGGCAGGATGATTGCTTGAATCCAGAAGTTCAGTATCAGCCTGGGCAACAAAGCAAGACCCCATCCCTACAAAAAATAAAATAAAAAATTAGCCAAGCTCAGTGGTGTGTGCCTGTAGTCCCAGCAACTCAGGAGGGTAAGGCAGGGGTATTGCTTAAGCCCGGAAGTTTAAAGCTGCAGTGGTCATGATTGTGCCAGTGTACTCTAGCCGGCATGACAGAGTGAGACTCTAACTCCAAAAAAAAAAAAAAAAGCATCTGAATGCTTAGATGAAAATGGCAGTGTATTACTACAGATTCATAGTTATAGCCTAAGTGACAAAAACTTGGGCATATAAGCAGAAGAACATCCTAGACCACATTTATTGTACACTGAATATTTCAGATTTTCGCTAATCTGTAGTTTACTGAGATTAATGAAGTCCTATAAGTATCACTCATTAAAGCTGGCTTTTAGAGGAAAAGGGATTGTCAGGGTATCATGAGATTCCAATTTTTTTTCTTTTTTTTTTCTTGTCTTTCTCTCACACTGAGCAAGATTCCAATTTTTTTCAATTCTAGAGCCATACCCTTTGCATGTGAAACGTATTTGTTTCAAACACTTGAACATAAACATACATCAGCAATGTGTGAAAGTTCTAGTTGTTGCACATCCTTGCTAATATTTAGCATGATCGCCTTTTATTTATTTTATTTATTTATTTTGAGATGGAGTCTTGCTCTGTCACCCAGGCTGGAGTGCAGTGGTATGATCTTGGTTCACTACAACCTCCTATTCCTGGGTTCAAGCAATTCTCCTACCCTCAGCCTCCTGAGTAGCTGGGATCACAGACACATGCCACCACACCTGGCTAATTTTTGTATTTTTAGTAGAGACGGGGTTTCACCATGTTCAGGCTGGTCTTGAACTCCTGACCTCGTGATCCGCCTGCCTCGGCCTCCCAAAGTGCTGGGATTACAGGTATAAGCCACCAAGACTGGCCGACCATTTTTTATTTTTAACATGCTAGTGGATGTGTAGTAGTATCTCCATGGGATTTCACTTTGGATTTTTCAAACTAATTATTTCTTGAGCATTTTTTTTCCCTGAGACAGAGTCTTGCTCTGGCCACCGTGCCCAATCTTAAACATCTTTTCAAGTACTTAGTAAATATTCATATCTTCTTTGGTGAAATATCTGTTCAAATCTTTTGCCCATTTTTTTAATTATCAGGTTGTTTTGGTCTTATTATTGATTTATAAGAGCTGTTGACAAATTTCTGGGTACAAATTCTTAGATGAATGTTTCTCAAGTCTTTTATTTTAGTCTGGCTTACCTTTCATCCTCATAGCAAGCTCTTCTGAAGAGCTAAATTATTTCAGTGAAGTCCAATTTATCATTTTTTCCTTCCCTTTTTTTTTTGTTTTTTGAGACAGAGGCTTGCTCTGTTGCCAGGCTGGAATCTGCCTCCCAGATTCAAGTGATTCTCTGTGGCAGTCTCCCGAATAGCTGGGATTACAGGCATATGCCACCACACCAGATAATTTTTTTTTTTTTGCTTTTTTTTGTTTGTTTGTTTGTTTTGTAGAGATGGGGTTTCACCATGTTGGTCAGGGTGGTCTCAAAATTCTGACCTCGTGATCCACCCACCTTGGCCTCCCAAAGTGCTGGGATTACAGGCATTAGCCACCGCGTTCAGCCTTACCATTTTTTCTTTAGTGATTCGTTCTTTTTGTGTCCTTAGAAATCTTTGCCTACCCTCAAGTTGTGAGAACTTTCTGCTTTTGTCCACATTATATATTTTTCAATCTTGTATTTAACTCTATGAGCCTTGATTTCAAGTTAGTTTTTATATACTGTATAAGAGTTCAGACTCATATTTTGCATATAGATATCCACTTTTTCTAGTACCATTTGTTGAAAATATCTTTTCCTCCACAGAATTACAATGGCATCTTTGCAGACAATCAACAATCATATATGTATTAATCTATTTCTGGGCTCTCATTTTTGTTTCCTTAATCTATAAATCTACAAGGCTGGGTACAGTGGCTCATGCCTGTAATCCCAGCACTTTGGGAGGCTGAGGGAGGATGGATCACCTGAGATCAGTTCAAGACCAGCCTGGCCAACATGGTGAAACTCTGTCTCTACTAAAAATACAAAAATTAGCCAGGCACGGTGGTGGGCACCTGTAATCCCAGCTACTCAGGAGGCTGAGGCAGAAGAATCACTTGAACCCAGGAGGTAGAGGTTGCAGTGAGTCAAGACTGTGCCATTGCACTCCAGCGTGGGCAACAAGAGTAAAACTCTGTCTCAAAAAAAAAAAAAGAATCTATATGTCTACACCTACAGCAATGCCATGCTTCCTTGACTTCTGTGTAAGTACTAAAATCAGGCAACATAGTCCTACAGTTTTGTCCTTTTTTCCCCAAAAGTTTTGATTATCCTAGGCCTTTTGCATTCTATGTAAGTTTTAGAATTAGCTTGTTAATTTCTACAGAAAAATCTGCTGAGATTTTGCTTGGGAATGCCATGAATCTAGAATTGAATCTGAAAGTGACATTCTTACAATGCTTGAGTCTTACAATCCAGAGTATTATATATCTCATTAATTTTCTTTTTATTTTCATTTTTGTTTGTTATGGGGTGTGTGTGTATGTGTGTGTGTGAGAGAGAGAGAGAGAGAGAGAGAGAGACAGGATCTCTCTCTGTTGCCCAGGCTGGAGTGCAATAACACAATCATAGCTCATTGCAGCCTTGACCTTCCAGGCTCAAGCAATCCTCCTACCACAGCCTCTCAAGTAGCTGGGACTACAGGTGTGAACCATCACACCTGGCTAGTTTTTAAATTTTTTGTAGAGACAGGGTCTTTCTATGTTGCCCAGGCTGGTCTTAAACTCCTAGACTCAAGTGATCCTCCTGTTTCGGCCTCCCAAAGTGCTGGGATTATAGGTGAGTCACTACACCTAGCCTTTTGTCTTTTTTTCTAGTCTCAAGGGGAAAACATTAAGTCTTTCACCATTAATTATGTTACCTGTACTTTTGTACAGGCCCTTTATCACATTAAGGAAGTTCCCTTCTGTTTCTATTTTACCATGAGTTTACAAATGTATTTTGAATTATGTCAAATGCTTTTCCTGTATCTATTGAAATTATCACATTGTTCTTTTCTAGACTGTAAATATGATGAATTTTCTAATGTTAAGCCAATCATGCATTCCTGGGATACATGTCACTTGGTCATAATGTATTATCTTTTCTACATATTGCTAAATTAGATTTGTTAATATTTTGTTAAGGATTTTTACATCTCTATATTCATAAAGCTATTAGCCTACAGGTTCTCGTAATGTTGATTCTGGGTTGTGATACTGGAGTAATGCTGGCCTTATATGTTGGGAAGTGCTTCTCCCACTTCTATTTCCTGGAATAATTTATTTGAAATTGTTTGCTTCCTGAAATGTTTGGCATAATTTGCCAATAAAACCATTAAGGCCTGGAATTTTCTATGCTAAGGTTTTGCTTTAAGGTTTTTGTTGTTCTTGGTTTTGTTCTTTGTTTTTAAGAGGTAGGTTCTTGCTATGTTGCCCAGGCTGCAGTGGCTATTCTCAGGTATGATAATCATACACTATACCCTTGAACTTCTGGGCTCAAGTGATCTTCCCACCTCAGTCTCCCGACATCTGGGACTAGAGACATGTGCCATCATGCCCAGCTTTTGTGATAAGGTTTTAAACTACAAATTTGACTTCTTTAACTTTAACTTCTTTAATGTAAGACTCAGCATTGTAAGAATGTCACTTTCAAATTCAATTCTAGATTCATGGCATTCCCAAGCAAAATCTCAGCAGATTATTCAGGAATATTCAGGTTACCTATTTCTTCTTGAGTGAGCTTTGTTTGGTAGTTTTTATCTTTCAAAGAATTTCTCCAACTCATCTAGGTGTTTTTTTTTTTGTTTTTTGTTTTTTTTTTTTTTTTTGAGATCAAGTCTCACTCTGTTGCCCAGGCTGGAGTGCAGTGGTGTGATCTTGGCTCACTGTAACCTCCGCCTTCCAGGTTCGAATGATTCTCCTGCCTCAGCCTCCCAAGTAGCTGGGACTACAGGCATGCACCACCACACCCATCTAATTTTTTTTGTATTTTTAGTAGAGACAGGGTTTCACCATCTTTGGCCAGGATGGTCTCAGTCTCTTGACCTCATAATCTGCCTGCCTCAGCCTCCCAGTGTGCTAGGATTACAGGGGTGAGCCACTGTACCCAGCCTCATCTAGGCTGTTAAATGTCATGACATAAAGCTGTTGTACTATTCTTTCAATATCTGTTAAGATCTATAGTGATGTCACTTTTCATTCCTGGTATTGATAATCTGAGCTTTCTCTTATTACTTTGTGATCAGTCTGGCTAGAGGATCACTTTTATTGATCTTTTTAAAGAATTAGCTCACGTTTCAATTATTTTTCTCTATTCTGTGCTTTTCTCTATTTCACTGATTTCTAATCTTCTCGTCATTATTCCCTTTGTTATACTTATTTAACTTGCTTGGTTTGCTAATTTCTTAGGTAGAAGCTAATATAATTTTTTTATTGTCGTGTTGGCCAGGTTGGTCTTGAACCCCTGACCTCAAGTGATCCCCCACTTCAGCCTCCCAAAGTGCTGGGATAACAGGCAACAGCCACTACAACCAGCCAGAAGCTAACAGAATTGACTTGAGACCTTTCTTCTTTTCTTATATAAGCCTTAATACTATAAATTTCCTTCTAAACACTGTTTTGCAACATCCCACAGATCTCTTTTATTTATTTATTTATTTAACTTTATTTTTTGAGACAGAGTCTCACTCTGTTACCCAGGCTGGAATACAGTAGTGTGATCTCGGCTCACAACCTCCACCTCCTGCCTCAGCCTCCTGAGTATCTGGGATTATAGGCACCGGGCTGTTTTGTATTTTCAGTAGAGACAAGGTTACACCATGTTGGTCAGGTTGGTCTCAAACTCCTGACCTCAAGCAATTTGCCCACCTATACCTTCCACAATGCTGGGATCACAGGTGTGAGTCACTGAATCAGGCTGTGTGTGTGTGGTGGGTTTTTTTTTTTTTTTTTGACAGAGTCTCATTCTGTTGCCCAGCATGGAATACAATGGCAAGATATTGGCTCACTGCAACCTCTGCCTCCTGGGCTCAAGTGATTCTCCTGCCTCAGCCTCCCAAGTAGCTGGAATTATAGGTGTTTACCACCACGTCTGGCTAATTTTTGTATTTTTAGTAGAGATAGGGTTTCACCATGTTGGTCAGGGTGGTCTCAAACTCCTGACCCCAAGGGATCCGTCCACTTCAGATTACCAAAATGCTAGGATTATATGCGTGAGCCACTGTGCCTGGCCTAATGCTATATTTTCATTATCATTCAGTTAGAAACATTTTCTAATTTTCCTTATGATTCATGCATTGACTCATGAATTTTAGTACCAAGTTGTTTAATTACCAGATATCTGGGGCTTTTCTAGGTGTTTTGTTTTTATTCATTTCTAATTTAATTACCTTGTGATCAGAGAACACACTCTATGGGTTTTTAGTCTTGCTATCTGGTTTTTCTGTTTTATGAAGGTATCTGGGGCAATTAAAAACCGATGCTGCTACCACTATTTCCCAAATATCCTCCTAAAAAGATCTACTTTAAAGATTTTCTTATCTTTAAGAATCTAAATACATTAAAAAAAAAACCCAAATTACAAGAATTCAATTGATTCAATAGTGAATTCAATAGTTTTTATTATGCTTTGAAGTATGTTTCTTCAACTATGACCTAGAAAATAATGAATACTTACTGTTATTTGCAAGAGTGAGTGCAATAAATGAGCAAATAGGGCGAATTATTTCAGGTTTCATGCAATTTTTTAGCCACTCATTAGCATGTGGAAAAAGTGAACAGCAAAACATTTGATTCTCATCTGAAAGAAGACAAAGTCAATCATGTTTTAATATGACAATTGGAAAATATCAGTTTTAATTTGTTTTTATCTTATTTTTATATTTAAACATTACAGATAATTACCATTTTGAGGATTGTTGACACAGACACACAGAGTACTACATACTGAAGACCATAACTGATAACTCTGGAAAACATTTTTATCTGACAAATCCAACTCATGTTTTGAAAGAAGTGTCCTATTAGGTTAAAAAGAAAAGAAAATAAATTAAAGAAATGTGTTAAGGTCCTAAGTAATGAATAATTAACAAAAAGAAATTTGTATTTGTTTACCTGAATAACCGTGACAGAACTGTAATACAACCTGTTTCTCTCACAAGTGTTTGTCCAGTCCCTTAAAAAAAAGCCATAAAAATACGAGTTTTATTTACAAATAGTCTTGTAGAAATAAAGAACTGTTAAGTTTTATTTTAACAAATAACTTTTAAACAACTTTAAAATATAACACAGAATTACAGTGGATAAAAATTTGTAATCAAGATTATTATAAAAAATATCACTAATGCTTATAAAATAATTGTATTCAAATTTTCCTCTAAAAATTACAAAACTCTTATTCTGCATCATGGTTCTGTGTTACAGTATCAAGGTAAGTTCCAAAATAGAAAAAATAAATAAATTCAGCCTTTTCTAGTTTTTCCAAAATAAAACAAATAAAATCTAGACACATTTTTTTTTTAAGTGCACACCTGGCAAGAAGGAACCTCCTTAGGCCTCTCTGCCAAGAAGCTTAGCCGAACTGCTTAAGCTGCTCAGACTACCATTATATCTGGGTCTGTGACCCTTTCCATGGAAACAAGAATAGCCAAGACCTAGAAGGGCGAGGAACCAGCCACTGGTAGCAGAAGAAGGTGAGGATTGACTCCTCCCCCTCAAGGGTACAATCTGATGCCTCGCTTCCCCAAGGTTGCCCAGCCCCTGCCCAACACCCTGGGGGTTTGGGCCTTGAGCCCTATGACCACCCAGACTTCCCCCGGCCCATGCCATTTTCCCTCTAGCTGAAAGAGTGGCATAAGAGAGTCTGCTGGTACTGAATATGGTCTTTGTGCTGGGACCTAGGCGACATGGGGAATAGGTCGCACAGCCTTGGCCTCCCCAAGTGCTGGGGTTACAGATGTGACCCACCTCGCCTATCTAGAAACATTTCTCTTTTTTGAGATGAGGTCTTGCTCTGTCATTCAGGCTAGAATGCAGTGGCTCGATCACAGCTCACTGTAGCCTCGACCTCCTGGGCTTAAGGGATCCTCCCACCTCAGCCTCCCAAAATGCTGGGATTACAGGGATGAGCCACCACACCTGGCCTAGAAACATTTTAAATGCTTACAAAATTTCTAACAATTTGAAGAACTAAAATTTTAAAAAGTTAAAAAATAACTGAGCAGTAAGTATACAGGAACATTCTATATTATCTTTGCAACTTTTCTGTAAATCTAAAATTATTCCAAAATAAAAACCATTGGTGGCTTATACTGTAAACACTGTAACTAAATGGTCAATTCAGCAGAAAATCAACTAATTCATTAAATGCCTCCCTTTTTCTCTTTAAAACTGTTACCTTTCAATGATAAGCACTATAATTACGTTATAATTTCTTAAAGTTAGTAAGTATTGAATGATTAAATACATGCTATTAACCCCCTTTACTTTTTTTCTTTTTTCTTTTCTTTATTTTTTTTTTTTTTTTGAGACAGTCTTGCTCTGTCTCTCTCGCCAGACTGGAGTGCAGTGGTGTGATCTTGGCTTCCTGTAACCTCTGCCTCCCGGGTTCAAGCGATTCCCTGCTTCAGCCTCCCGAGTACCTGGGATTATAAGTGCACACCACCACACCTGGCTAACTTTTTGTATTTTAGTAGAGACAGGGTTTCACCATGTTGGCCAGGATGGTCACGATCTCCTGACCTTACTGATCCACCCACCTCAGCCTCTCAAAGTGCTGAGATTACAGGCGTGAGCCACCGCCCCCTTATCTTTAAATAAGTATTTCTCAGAGGAGAGATTTTAAAAAGGTACTCGGCAGGGCATGGTGGCTCATGCCTGTAATCTCAGCACTTTGGGAGGCCGAGGTGGGTGGGTCACTTGACACCAGGAGTTTGAGACCAGCCTGGCCAACATGGTGAAATCCCCATCTGTACTAAAAATCCAAAAATTAGCCAGGCACAGTAGCACGTGCCTGTAATCCCAGCTACTCAGTAGGCAGGAGAATCGCTTGAATCAGGAGGCAGAGGTTGCAGTAAGCTGAGATCGTGCCACTGCACTCCAGCCTGGGTGCCAGAGTGAGACTCCGTATCAAAAAAAGAAAAAAAAAACAAAAAAAGTACTGATACAAGGTCTAAAGTAAAAAATTAATAATGACTGTTCCAATTGATTAAAGTGTTTTCAAACATTCATAAGAGAATGTACTTACTGTTATTTGAAACCAGAACCAAAATAACATAAACAGACATTCTTTTCAAATTTATGTTTGAATCATTAGATAAGAACCAAGTTAAGTCTTCAAACAACTCTGAAGTACACAAAGTCTGTTGACAGTAAACTGAAATATAAAATATAATTTTAATTTCAATGCATTATGACAAACATGCTTTAAAATGTGCTGAACAAAATACAAAATTGCCTAACTGGGGATGGCTCTTAACTGAATCTCATTTAATTGATATTTATTAGTCATACAACAATATTTCTGACAAACCGGTATGTGTTTACTCAATTAGCAGACTAAAAAAGTGGTATATTGGAAGGGCAGGGCTAAAAATAAAAAAAAAATAAAAACAAAATAAAGAAAGAAAGAAGCAGTATATTAATCAAAAGTACTTAATCTAGGCTCCAAAACACACATTAGCTAGAGTTTATAATAAAAACTTATCTGAATAAAAACTTAAATAAAATTTAGCAAAAAAAACCTTTAAAGGATGAGTAACAAAACAGCAAGAAAAACAATTCAAAAGAATTCAGAAATCTGCTTTAGAAAACAGAGGGACAAACAATATTTGTGCTATTGAGACTTTTCTAGAAATGAAAATCTTTTCAAAAATCATACTACCTGAGTTTTTTTGTGTGTGTGATAATAATGAAAGCAGAATTTTACAAAAATAATATAGACATAAAGATACAATCAATATTTCATACAGTTCCTAGAATCAGCTATTAGACTCTATCTCAAAGGCAAGGACTAAGCGAGGCACAGAAAGACAAACATCACATGTTCTCACTTATATGTGGATCTAAAAATCAAAACAATTGAACTCATGGAAACAAATGATTACCAGAGGCTGGGAAGGGTAGTGGGAGGTGGTGGGGAATGGTTCCCCCCCAAAAATAGAAAGAATAACTAAGACTTACTATTTGATAGCACAACAGAGTAACCATAGTCAATAATAATTTAGTTGTACCCTTTAAAATAACTAAAGAGCATAATTGAATTGTTTGTATAACATAAAGAACAAATGTTTGAATGGATGGAAACCCCATTCTCCATGATGTGATTATGTATTGCATGTCTGTATCAAAACACCTCATGTACCCTAATAAATATATACATCTATTATATAGCCATGAAAAGGACCGTATCTTACTTATCCCTGTATCCCCAATGCTTTGCACAAGCCTTGGTTCCTAAAAGGTTATAATTCTCTTTTTTTGAGACAGTCTTACTCTGTGATCTGTCACCCAGGTTGGAGTGCAGTGGCATAAACTCAGCTCACTGCCACCTCCACCTTCCAGGCTCAAGCAATCTCCCACCGTGGCCTCCCAAGTAGCTGGGACCACAGGTACACACCACCACGCCTGGCTAATTTTTTTTATTTTTGGTAGAGATTGGGTATCACCATGTTGTCCAGGCTGGTCTCAAACTCCTAAGGTCAAGTGATCCACCTGCCTCAGCCTCCCAAAGCGCTGGGATTATAGGTGTGAGACATCATGCCTAGCTGATGAAGAAATATTTAATAAATGAAAATGTAAGAATATAAAGTTGGTCTGACAAACCAAGGGTTTATATTCAACCTTATTTTAGACATACTGCAGAAAAGCGTTCTTGCCAACATGAATTTCTATACCCAAAGCATATTTAACCACAAATAACATGGTTGTGGGTTATCTTCATTCTTCAATCTGGAAGGAAGATGAAAGAGAATAGAAAGGAAAGAAAAAAGGGAAAGGGAAGGGAAGGAAAAAAGGAAGGGAAAGGGAAGGGAAGGAAAAAAGGAAGAGAAGGGGAAGGAATAAGGGGAGGAGAGCTGAAGGGAATAGAGAAAAGGGAAAGGGAAGGGAAGGGAAGGAGAGAGAGAGGACGAAAAAGGAGAGAAGGAAGGAAAGAATGGAGGAAAGGAGGGAGGGAAGGAAGGAGGGAGGCTGGATAAAATTATTCAAACATAAAAAAAAGGAAAGGAAATTAAAATTAGTTTTGAGTATACTGTTAAAATATAACACAATGCTTAAGTATAATGAAATAAAGTTTATATTTTACCATTTTTTTCTGCGATAGCTCCTAATGTATATAAGGCTGCTTCTTTTACCATGCTATGTTCACTTGACTTTGCAAGATTTTTTACAAACATCAAACCACCAATTTCCCGAAAATAAATACTTGCGTTACCTGTAGGATATGCAGAAAAAAACAAAATAGAAATGATATTTATTTTGATCATCCTTTCAGGGATAAAATAAATCACATGAAGAAAGTAACATATTATGTAGAATAACTGAGTGAAAGATAAAGAATATGCTTATTTGATATAACATAGATCTAAAGAACTAGAATCACAGATAAAAATTCACTATTATATCTTACTGTTTTGTTGACAAATTGAATGAATAGTGACCAAAGCTTCCTTTTGTGAAAAAGCATTGTCCATTTGATGCTTTAGACACTCCAATAGTAAGTTCAGGTCAGTCTTCATTTCTAAAGAACAAAAATGTCATTATTTTAAACGGTCTCTTTCAAAAACTAACCATTCGAACTTCACGTACTAAATACATACCTTTGGAATAGTCAACTTTTAAAGTAATAGGCATGTATTACTTTCATAAGCCAACAACCATGTATTTTTTAAAAGATGTTCTTTAAACAAAAGAATTTAAAATGAACTTCTTATAGTTCTTTGATTTTCCCTTTGCATAAGTATAGGAATAGAAAGTCCAAATATTATTCTCTTTAAGTAAAGCTACACTGGTTTAAATATCTGCCATTTAGGAAAAAAAGTGGATAAAAATGAAAATACAACATATGAGAATTTGTGAAATGCTACGAGAGCAGTATTTAGGATGAAAGGTCTCAAATCAATGATGTCAGCTCCCACCTGAAACCAGTGAAACTGAAAACAAATACAGAGGATGTTCTTCGAGAAGATCAATAAAACTAATAAATTTCTAGTCAGATGAATTAGGAAAAAAGGAGTAAAGACACAAATTACCAATATAAGAAATGAGAGAGATGGCATTACCACATTCTACAGATATTCAGAAGATATTAAGGGAGTACTATGCACAATTTCATACCTATAGATTCAACAACTTAGGTGAAATGACATCACCAAAATTCACCCAAGAAAAAGACAACTTGAATAGTCCTGTATCTATGAAAGAAGTTGAATTAAGTGTTAAAAACTTTTCCACCCAAAGAAAACTCTGGGTTCAGATGGTTTCATTTGTAAATTCTACCAAACATTTAAGGAATAATATAAATTCTACTCAAATTTTTCCAAGAGTTTAAGAGAAGGAATACTTCTCAACTTATTCTATGAGGCTGGTATTACCCTTATACCAAAATGGAAGCCATTAGAAAGAAAACTACAGGGGCCGGGCACGGTGGCTCAAGCCTGTAATCCCAGCACTTTGGGAGGCCGAGGCGGGTGGATCACGAGGTCAAGAGATCGAGACCATCCTGGTCAACATGGTGAAACCCCGTCTCTACTAAAGATACAGAAAATTAGCTGGGCATGGTGGCACATGCCTGTAGTCCCAGCTACTCGGGAGGCTGAGGCAGGAGAATTGCCTGAACCCAGGAGGCGGAGATTGCTGTGAGCCGAGATCGCGCCATTGCACTCCAGCCTGGGTAACAAGAGCGAAACTCCGTCTCAAAAAAAAAAAAAAAGAAAGAAAACTACAGACCAGTAACCCTCATGAAAATACAGGCAAAAAGTCTAAACAGTTGTAGCAAATTGCATCCAACAACATATTAAAATAAAAATACATCACAACTAAGTGGGTTTATTCCAGAAATGCAAGGTTATGATTTGAAAAAAAAAAAATCAATGTAACATAATAAGCTAAACAGGAAAACCTTTTGGTCATCTTAATAGATGTAAAAACAGCATCTGATAAAATTCAACATGCATTTCTTATTAAAGAAAAATATTCCACAAACTTGGTATAGAAAGCAACTTCCTCGACCTGGCAAAGTGCATCTACAGTTGAAAATCCTACAGCAAATATCATACCTAACAGGGAAAGACGAAATACCTTCTCTCTAAAACCAGATATAAGATAGAGATGTTTGCTCTCACCACTCTTTTTTTTTTTATTGCATTTTAGGTTTGGGGGTACAAGTGTGGAACGTGCAAGATAGTTGCATAGGTACACACATGGCAGTGTGTTTTGCTGCCTTTCTCCCCAGGCTATCCCTTCCCAGCCCCCCATCACTGTCCCTCCCCTATTCCCCACAATAGACCCCAGTGTGTAGTACCCCCTTCCCTGTGTGCATGTGTTCTCATTTTTCCTCACCCGCCTATGAGTGAGAATATGTGGTATTTCATTTTCTGTTCTTGTGTCAGTTTGCTGAGAATGATGTTTTCCAGATTCATCCATGTCCCTACAAAGGACACGAACTCATCATTTTTGATTGCTGCATAATATTCCATGGTGTATATGTGCCATATTTTCCCAGTCCAGTCTATCATCGATGGGCATTTGGGTTGGTTCCAGGTCTTTGCTATTGTAAACAGTGCTGCAATGAACATTCGTGTGCATGTGTCCTTATAGTAGAACGATTTATAGTCCTTCCGATATATACCCAGTAATGGGATTGCTGGGTCAAATGGAATTTCTATGTCTAAGGCCTTGAGGAATTGCCACAGTCTTCCACAATGGTTGAACTAATTTACACTCCCACCAACAGTGTAAAAGTGTTCCTATTTCTCCACATCCTCTCCAGCATCTGTTGTCTCCAGATTTTTTAATGATCGCCATTCTAACTGGCATGAGATGGTATCTCAATGTGGTTTTGATTTGCATCTCTCTAATGACCAGTGATGATGAGCATTTTTTCATATGTTTGTTGGCCTCATGTATGTCTTCTTTTGTAAAGTGTCTGTTCATATCCTTTGCCCATTTTTGAATGGGCTTGTTTTTTTTCTGTTTAAGTTCTTTGTAAATTCTGGATATCAGCCCTTTGTCAGATGGGTAAACTGCAAAAATGTTTTCCCATTCTGTTGGTTGCCGATTCACTCTAGTGACTGTTTCTTTTGCCGTGCAGAAGCTGTGGAGTTTGATTAGGTCCCATTTGTCTATTTTGGCTTTTGTTGCCAATGCTTTTGGTGTTTTGGTCATGAAGTCCTTGCCTACGCCTATGTCCTGAATGGTTTTGCCTAGATTTTCTTCTAGGGTTTTTATGGTGCCAGGTCTTATGTTTAAGTCTTTATTCCATCTGGAGTTAATTTTAGTGTTAAAGTGTCAGGAAGGGGTCCAGTTTCTGCTTTCTGCACATGGCTAGCCAGTTTTCCCAACGCCATTTATTAAACTTGGAATCCTTTCCCCATTCACAACTCCTATATAACATTGTCCCAAAGAGTCTAGTCAGTGTCATCAGATAAGAAAAAAGAAACAAAAGGCCCCCAAAGTGGCAAGAAAGTATTTGAATTTGCATACAACATGATCTACATAATTTGATGGAATCTACAGAAAGCTACTAGAATAAACAAACCAAGTTTTCCAGATAACTCTTTAATACATAAAAATAGATTGTAGAGTCAAGTGTTGCTTAATGATGGAGATACATTCTGAGAAATGCATTAGGTGATTCCATCATGGTATTAACATCATAGAGTGTACTTACACAAACCTAGAAGGTAGAGCTTATTATATATCTAGGCTGTATGGTATAGTTCTATTGCTCCTAGATTAAAACCTAAACAGCATGTTACAGTATTGAGTAATATAGTCAATTATAACACACTGACAAATTTTTGTATATCTAAACACATCTAAACATAGAAAAGCTATAATACAGTTTTTTTTTTTTGAGACGGAGTTTTGTTCGTTACCCAGGCTGGAGCGCAATGGCGCAATCTCGGCTCACGGAAACCTCCACCTCCTGGGTTCAAGCAATTCTCTTGCCTCAGCCTCCCAAGCAGCTGGGACTACAGGCATGCGCCACCATGCCCAGCTAATTTTTGTATTTTTAGTAGAGACGGGGTTTCATCATGTTGACCAGGATGGTCTCGATCTCTTGACCTCATGATCCACCCACCTCAGCCTCCCAAAGTGCTGGGATTATAGGCGTGAGCCACCGCACCCGGACTATAATATAGACTTTTTAAAAGGTACATCTAGAAGTTTCTCTGGGTGTATCAGTGAGTGAGTGGTGAGTGAATGTAAAGGCTTAGGGCATTACTGTACACTACCGTAGACTTTATAAACACTAAATTTAGGCTACTCAATTTATTTTTAAAATATCTTCAATAATAAAATAAACTTAGCTTATTGTAACTTCATCTAATTTTTTCTTTTCTTTTTGCTACTAATCATGCCACATTATTTTTAATTATGTACAAAGATCTAACATGTCACCCAGGGACCATTTCACCCACTGCTGTTTGGCTGCCAGTCTTTTGTTTCTCTTTTCAGCAATGGTGAGGCAGATACCCTTTCCTCGGGGAAGAGAAATCCATGGTTTATTGCCCTTGCCAATAACAAAAATGTTGGAAAGTCAAGTGGCAAAGCTGCTGCCATTGGCATCTTTCACATGAACGACATCAAAAGATCCAGGGTGCCTCTCTCTGTTGGTAATCACACCAATTCTTCCCAGGTTAGCACCTCCAGTCACCATACACAGGTTACCAGTGTCAAACTTGATTAAATCAGTAATCTTGCCAGTCTTGAAATCAATCTGAATGGTATCATTCACCTTGATGAGGGATCAGGGTAGCAGATGGTACGAGCATCATGAGTCACCAGATGAGGGATTCCTTTAGTGCTCACAAAGATTTTTCTCACTTTGCAAAACTTGTACTTGGCCTCCTCAGGTATAATACTATGGACAGCAAAGCTGTCATAGATCAGACAGAAATTGGTGTCATAGATCAGACAGAAATTCTCTCCTGTCTTGTAAATGCTAATGACATCCATGAATCCAGCGGGGTAGGTTATATCAGTTCAGACCTTGCCATTGATCTTAATGAACTGCTGCATGCAAATCTTCTTTACTTCATCTCCTGTCAGGGCATACTTAAGTCTGTTCCTTAGGAAAATGATGAAGGGGAGACACTCTTTCAACTTGTGAGGACCCGTGGATGGATGAGGAACAAACACATTGGTCAATTTATCCAGCATCCAATGCTTTGGAGCTGCTTCCTGCTTCAGATGCTTCTTGGGACCACAAGCCATGGCTGTGTTAGGCAAGAAAAGAGGACCTCTGACTTCCAGTATGCATAGAAATTGGTACCAGAGACTATGCACACCGGATATCCCAGCTAATTTTTTTTTAAGAGATAGGGTCTCACTATGTTGCCCAGGCTGGTCTCAAACTCCTGGCCTCAAGCAATCCTCCCATATTGGCCTCCCAAAGCACTGGGATTACAGGTGTGAGCCATTATGCCTGGCCTATTTTTATTGTTTTAAACGTTATTAAAACTAAGACACAAACATACACATTAGCATAGGCCTAACAGGGTCAAGATCATCAAT